CACCCCAGCCCTGCCCCCGGCACTGACCCGGCCCCCACCCGGACCTCGCCACGCCCAGCACAAGATCTGCACGCCGCTAACCCTGGAGATGTACTACACCGAGATGGACCCCGAACGCCACCGCAGCATCCTGGCGGCCATCGGGGCCTACCCGCTGAGCCGCAAGTACGGCACCGAGATGCCCTCGGCGTGGGGGGAGAGCTACCGCACGGCCGCCAAGGACGACCCCAAAGGGCCCACCCAGGCGGCGGCGGCCACCGAACCACCAGGGAAGCTAGTGGCCAAGGGCGAGAAAGAGGAGGCCCCTAAGGTGGCCGGGAGCTCGGCGCCCGTGTCGCTGCAGTGACTCACTTTGGCCGCCACGGCCACCGTCAGCCCTGCCCCTGGGGTAGGTCAGCCTGCCCCCCTGTCGTAGGTCTTCGGTGGGGGTGGGGGGCAAGTGGGTTTGCAGAGGGCTTACCTGTGCAGCCCTTCCTCAGTAGGTCTGCCCAGTCCCCCTGGAGGGTCAGCCTTGCGCCCTCGGGGTGGGTTTGTCCGGCTTGGGGTAGGTATGTCGTCTAAAGCAGGGGCCCAGGCCAGCTCCTTCTGGGTTCCTGATTGGTGCCCCACCTCCATTCCTGAGCCAGGAACCCTCCTCACCACCCTCCCCTCCCCTTCTCAGCCAGCATCTGAGCCAAGGGCTGGGGTGCCGGGTGGGTGGCAGGTGACTTGAGGAGGGTCTGAGGCTTCAGCCTGCTCTGCTTGCCCCTCAGGTGGGCAGTGGGATTGCACCCAGACCCGCCCCACCTGCGGGGTGCCGGGTGGGTGGCAGGTGACTTGAGGAGGGTCTGAGGCTTCAGCCTGCTCTGCTTGCCCCTCAGGTGGGCAGTGGGATTGCACCCAGACCCGCCCCACCTGCTCTCGGCTCCCGGCTCTCCATCTTCGGAGTCGTCCTTCCTCCACACCTGTGACCGGGAGGATGCCTGCCCTTTGCCCACGTGTTTGTGCTCCTGCTTCAGCACCTGACCTGTGTGCCCCCCCGGGACATGTCCCCAGCCCCCTGGTCCTCGAGGCCTTTGACCCCCTTGCTTTTGTGTAAGTAAACAAACATTCAAGTTCACTGAGGCTCTGCTGCTCCTCTGTGTCCTTGGGCGGCCCAGCTGGCCTTCTGCCCCCCACTGTGAGTGATGACCAGCATCATGCCCCCGCTGCCCAGAGGGACCCCAAGGACCCCGGAGCATTACGGCTGTGGAGGGAGCAGCCAGCCAGGCCCTGGGAGCTAGGCTCATGCACACGGACACGGAGGGGCCTGGGCCACAGCCCTGGGTGGACGACCTCGTGGAGGTTCATTCCTCCCCATCCACACGCGATGCCATGAGCTGGCACCCACACGGGGAGCCAGGGTCCCTGGAGTTGTCCCTGACAGCCTGCAGCTCCCACTCTCAGCTGCGCCCAGCCACCCTCTACCTGTAACCACACACCTCCTCCAACCTGCCCGCAGTTCCTGTCCACCCCCCACCCAAGATGCATGCAGGAGTGAGCAAATGAAGAAGTGACTGAAGGACTGGGCCTGAGGGGCAGTGAGGAGGAAAGCCTCCACCCCTCCCAGCTCCATCCTGGGCTCCTCAGCCAGCAGGGAGGGGTGAGGTCTGCAGGCCCCCAGGAGGCATCTCCTCCCTCACGCACCCGGAGGTTCCCAGCCAGCCCACCTCAGCCCAGACACCCCGCCTGGGCCCAAGGGCTCCACCCTGGGGGGGGTGGGCTCGGGTCGCTGCCTGAGGAGGGGCCTTGGGACAAAAGGCTCGAGTGGGGGGGTGGGGGCAGTGAAAGAGCCTGGAGAGCAAGAGGAAAGCCACTCAAGGCGGACCCAGCCTAGGTGCTTCCTGCAGTGTTGGCCAGAGAACGGCCGTGTGCCCACAAGCAGGGCCGGGACACGGATCACACATGGAGCAGGCTGTGGTGGACCTCACCGTTGATACCAGCATGGAACGCTGGTGGACGACAGCCCAGCTTAGCCACTGCAGGGTCAGAGAGGCCCCCTCTGGGGATCAGTGGGTTCAGGCCCAGCACAGGGCGGTGAACCGGGGTCCGGGCCGGGCACAGGGCAGTGAACCGGGGTCCGGGCCGGGCACAGGGCGGTGAACCGGGGTCCGGGCCGGGCACAGTGAGGTGAACCGGGGTCCGGGCCGGGCACAGTGAGGTGAAACGGGGTCCGGGCCGGGCACAGTGACGTGAACCAGGGTCCGGGCTGGGCACAGTGAGGTGAACCAGGGTCCAGGCCGGGCACAGATCAGTGAACCGTGGTCCAGGCCGGGCACAGTGAGGTGAACCAGGGTCCAGGCCGGGCACAGTGAGGTGAACCGTGGTCCAGGCCCAGCACAGATCAGTGAACCAGGG